TATTATTATTTGTAATGTATTCTTTGTGGCTAAGTTTCTTTCAACCTTATCTTTTGATATTTTGCTTCTGGCTTGAAGTAGTAAGCTTAAAAGATATCTCTTTCTGATCTTTGTCTCTTTCATCTTTGCTGGATTGATTCTTATATGATGAATGATAGTGATCCAGAAAATGTTTCATTGTTGTAGAGTCAGAGTCTTTCAGATATTTGAACATTGTCTTCGGATATACAAGCAACAACTCATCCGAGGAACAACTTCTTTGATGATGAAAGCTTTTCTGATCTATACATCTTGATCAGATCTTTGTTTTATGATAACAACTTTTCTGAGTTGTGTGTCTGATGTCTGATATCTGAAGCAACAACTTATATCAGTACATCTGATTTTGACGTTGAGTTCTTTCTTTATGACCTCTTTGAATTTTGATCTTTGGATTGAGCTGGAAGTAATAACTTATGTCAACTAAATCTTGGTTTTTGATCTTGAGTTATTTCCATAAACTATCCCAGCCTTCAGAATCTTAACCTTGTCTTTAGAACTATGAGCAATAACTCTTCTGATGAACAAATTTTAACTTCTGATCTTGGGGCAGCACTTCTCTGAGAACATATTTGATTCCCTTTCTGACGAACATTTAGCATTCCTTAGAACTATTGATGATTCTTTTAAAAACTGTCACAATAGTTCTTTCAATGAGTGTGATGGTAGTTATGATTCTCCAGACAACAGTCATGAATCAATTAGAATTTCATATCCGCACACTTAATGAAACTATTAGAAACTAAAACTGTTTCTCATCAAATATATGTGTTGTTATCACAAAAATTTCGAAATTATATTGTAGACACAAATCTTGTTCTAAGATTTTGTCCCTGTAACAAGCACTCTTTATGAATTTTGTCATTGGTTCTACCTTTAATGCTTATCTAATGAATGAATATGATGTTTTGATTTTGGTCCCTATATGTTTATGATTTTATTATAACGTGTGACACTCTTGTGTAGTGCTTTTTGAATAATTATTCGTATAATTATATGTAGGGTTTAGAAAGGTATTGCATCAAACACACCGAAACTTTGACCACAAAAAAGGAATGATTTCGACAAGTGGGTATATGAGAAACTATAAGAAGAACAAGGGTTTCTTGAAGAGCTATATGCATTTTCTACTCCCTTCTTTACCCACGAATTTCTTATATATATATATATATATATATATATATATATAAATTTAAGAACCGAAAATAACACTAATTCTTCATTTATAGTATTTATTTATAAGCTAATTATTTAATCATTTGTATTATCTTAATCTTATAGTGTGTTACTTCATTAAATTATTAACTTATGACAATATTATAAGGAGTTATAGTATTAGAAATACTTGGTCTTGTTCATAAATCTTTTTTGATGATTGGAAATTTGCATGTTTTTTTAATTTGATCCATAAATTTTTAAGTTGCAAGTTGTTCGTATGGGATGATGGACTTGAATGAAATACATCAAATGAACTCAAAAATTCGAGTGGATTCAATTGCTCAGTGTAACATCCTATTTTCCCCATCGTATATTTAATAAAATCAGAGTAATTTAAAATTTTCCAATTAACATCAAAATAGGATGTCACATTTCATCATCTAAAAAATTACTCAATCATTTAGTAAATAGATACATAACACAACTATTTCAGATGAACCGACAACATAATTAACATGGTATTCAACTTCGTTTTATTCATGCAAAGTAAGACAATTAAGAATAGATTTAGTCATCAACTCCAACAATTCATAACAACGTCTTATCAAATGAAAGAGAGTCTACAATACTCTTGCAATCCTTCAAAGCAACAACAACTAAATAAGCAAAACAAGCATTCATCCCCGGTGTTACGTATCAGAGCAAGACCCAACTCAATCTACGCACTACAAAGCGCAACTCCATACCTCAAGCAACTCTAATCCTTTTCACCTGCGTGTTATCAACGTGGAGGCAAGATTTAAACAGAAGGGGTGAGATATCAAATAATATAAACGAATATATGATAATGAACATGTAAAGTATGGCATACATAATCATAACGTTCATACTTCATGCATCCACACCAATACACGACACCGTCTCAACAATCACACCCAACAATCAAACCAATCACATCTTATTCATCAACAACATCATAATTATCCATACTTCATGCATTAAGGACAATATACGTCACAGTTTCAACAATCACGTCCAACAATCAATTAATCACATCTTATTCATCAACAACATCATAAATGCAATGAGACCAACTTCAATAATTATATACATGTGGTATCATAACAATGCCTCTTTGCCATTTAGGCTACACCGCCACTTATCGTTAAGGCTACACCGTCACTTGCCATTAAGGTTACACTGTCATTTATGAACATGCATGCAACACTAACATGTTATGACAACAAATACAACGACACAACACACATCAACAAACCAAGCCAATACATCTCGTTAATCACACATCGTTATTCATACATCATCGCAACGTCACTACGTCATGAAATCTCTTCATATTCATCGTCATATTCGTAACTTCACAATTACAACAAAACATCAGAATAAATCAAAATTCAGGAAATCATCTTTGTTGTACCCTAAAATTTTCCCTCCCTTTTTCTCAACACATTATTCACAATATTTTCAGTGGCTCAAGCTTGCACGAGGGTTGACTAGGTTAAGCCATTTCCTCAACACTGATACCTCAAATTAGGGTTTGAGTTTGCACAAAGACAATTGGACTTCTAATACTCCAAATGACTTTCATGGATCAGTATGGACCTCCAAGAATGCTCATGACAAGTTTCAAGTCTTGGATCACCAAGATTGCTCAGTCAATTGACCAAATGACCAAGAATCAACTGTAGTGGTAAAAAGTCAACTGATACACCAAAAGTCAAACTTTGACTTTTTGGTCAACATTAAGTCTCAAAGATCAAAATTCATCAAGATATTCAAGAATATCAAGCTTGATCATCAAGAAGTCAAGAAAGTCAAAAGTCAACTTGAAAAGTCAAACTTTCCAAGACTTAGAAAGTTATCTAAGTGTTTTATACATGATAATTTCTTTACTTCATGTCAATCTTTTACCAAGATGTAAGATGATTCAAAGAAAACTTTCAACATGAAAGTTTTAAATCTTGATGAGATCTATAACTTTGCTTTGCTGATCAAGTCCTAGAAGTGCTTGGATTTTGAGTTATAAATTCATGAAGTCATAACATTTTCATCTAACACTTAGAGAAATTTTCAACAGATTTTGGTCAGGATTTTATCCAACTTCTTGGCATTTTTTCACATAGTTCCAAGATGATTTTTTCAAAATGGCCAACTTGAAAGTTATTGAGGATGTTTCAAGCTTTCCAAAACATTCAAGAGCATGAATTTATCATACTTAAGCTAGAAGATTCAAGGGCATGAAGTTGGACATCCATTCTTGAATTGCAAGACATTTTATTGAAGAACACATAACAAAACCCTTATGCTATGCTGCATAATCTTGTGTTGCAGGCCTCCTTGCTTACACCCACTCTTGAGCTATTACCCAAGTGTTTAAGCCTTTGTCCAAAAGATCTTTACATTTATGGCATGAAGTTATCATTGCTAATCTTGAAAAACAATTTTTTGGTACAAATTTGTTTTGCGCCCATATTTTGTTTGCTTCTGATTTTACTCCACCATAATTCATGAAAAGAAGCCTCTCTAGACCAACAAATTTGGTACTTCATCTTGGGATTATGGATTACTTTACATAGTTTGATCTTTACAATCCAACCAAACCATAGCATGCTGTCTTGCAAACCTAATCAGCTCATATACACAAACCTCTTGCCTATAAATAGAAGAAGCATTTGCAAGAGAAATAGGTCAGAAAAATAGAGAGAAAATACAGAAATTTTGTTGATAAACCCTCAAAATATCATATTCACAAAAACCATAACAGTCCACAAAGCTTCCACTCTTGAGTTTTGAAGTCCAAACCTTTGAACCTCTCATACCTTTGAAGCTCTCTCCAAACATCTAAGCACCCCACATACATCATATATAAGTTGTTCAAAATCAAGAACAAGCTTCTGTAACACCTCTATTTTTCCAAGTTCAAGAACAGTCAAGACAACAACTCAAGCTCAAAACATAAATTCCAGCTTCAAGGTAAGTCTTCTTGACTTTAACTCTTAAATATTTTATTTATCATTTTTACACTTATTTATTTTATTTTCTTTATAAATACAAAAGAACAAAAAAAGATATTTTCTCAATAAATTAATTTCCTTTTTAATAATTAATATTTAGATTTAGGTTTAATTATTATTTAGATTCAGTAAAAAAACAAAAAGACTTGGTACAAGAACAATATAAGTCATCAAACTAATTAAAAATGCAGTTTTAGCTGTCAATATTTTATTAAATCATGTCAAAACTTGCTATATGTGATTTGCCTTTAGCTTACTTCACTAAATCGTGTGCTTTGATTTGAGAATAATTTGCTTACACAATTAGTCATGATGGTTTTCATCCGCCAATTCTTTAAGGACTTAGGACACGGTTTTGCAGGTAAATTTTGTTAAAGAGAAACATCTCAACTTCTTTAAGGACTTAGGACAACAGTTATGTATTTAAAAAAAAAGGTATCCTAATTCATATCAATTTTGTTTACTAATGTTAGAGGATCCTCCATATCTATACATTCCAAAAGATATGAAAAGATTTTATGAGAAAGGTAACCAACCATTCATAATATATCCATAACCAAAAAGATAATGCCAACTATGTGTTGAACATATCCACGCTCTTCCTAGCACATAATTTCAGAGTAAGAAAATAAAAAAATATGAAGGATTCAATGTTGCTTAAATGCATATTACTGTTAAGATGAGAGGAACCATTGCAGCAGACAAATGCTTAAGTGACAATATGAAAAGTTGCTGCATAAATCAATCTATCAGCAGTCTCTTGCAGCGTAGCTAGAGGATAAAATCCTGCCAAGACTTAATTTGAAACTAATAACAGTCATTAAAGGAGTGTTGAATAAAAACAGGTAATATATCCTACAAAAAGTACAAACCTGCAGCACATAGCCAATGCTCCTTTTCTCCTTTGACAGTGCATTGAATATGTGACAGATTTTCTCTCCAATGTTCCTATTTAGCAGCAGTCTGAATGCTCTTATCACACTGCAGCAGCACATGCACCGACAATCAGTACCATCGTGTACCCTTTTTATCTATCAATCTTACACAAGTTGGGAAATACATTCCCCACTGGTAGTAGAGTCCCACGTCGAAAGAAGGTGAAAGATATTGAGATAAGCAAGATTATAAAACAACGCAAATACCTTCATTGCAACATACTTACCTGGATGGGGTCAATGGTTGATCATGAAGGATCATGGCCTAGGAGAGTGACCTCCATTGCACTTAGGAGGGGTGCTATCCTAAGGTCTACCCAAGTGGTGGAACCTACATCATAATTTGTTGCAGTGGGGGCCTGCGTTCGCGCGGCTCCCTCCTATTCTCATATCAAACTTTGAGTAAGAGTTTCTTTTCTTAAATTCTACATGGTTTAGGAGATTGTCAGATAAGTACATTCTAAATATGTAATTTTCTTTTTAAATAATCTAACTCATAACTTAGTATGCTGAACAAGTTTGTTTTGATCTCACTCTTAGTTTAACTTATATTCTTATACTATCTATAAGCAATCATGTTTTCTTAAGATACTCGTAGAATACCTGCAACTAGATACACTCCATAGTCTTAAATTGTTGTCTACAATCCACAGCAGTATTACAAGCAGAAAGTTGATATCATTTGCTTATGGATCAAAAGGAGGGTGCAGAGGTTGTCCAAAGGCTCTGCCAATCACCTTAGCAAATGATGATTTACTTAGATCTAACTAAGGCCTAAGAAATCATTTCACTATGTTCTTTATGGCCCTGTAATAGGAGAGGGTCCCCCAATTAGATCCAATCAATCTACAAACAAACATGTTTTCTTGAGATGATGTTATTCTATGACCGTGGATGTTTCATTTAATTAATGCCAAAATGTGCTAAACAAATGGTGGCAAAATACCACTATCATTATTATGAAATGCTAGGCAAAGCCGATTAAGAGGACAATAGAGAAACAGTTTATCAAAATAGAGAACTAATCCTTAAAAGAATAGTTCTTTATTGAAAAACATATGAAACAGAATGAAGACATTCTTTAAAATAGTTAACATTCTTTAAAATAGTTAACATTCATTCTTAAAAATAGTTCACTTCATTCTTTAAAATAGTTAACATTCATTCTTAAAAATAGTACACTAATATCGAAACTGATATTTGTAAATGAATGGAGACAAGAAAGCATTGTGGGATGAGTTAAGCAAAAATAAGAAATGGGGTTAACATTGATGCAAGAGTTCCACCTCGCTTAGGGAAGGAAGAAACATAAACATATGTCAGATATAAAACACACAACAAGCTTGCATTTCAACTCATACCTTTCTCGGCCTTTTGGCTAAGATCAAGTGTAGTATCTGTTCTTATCAGTTTAATATCTGATATGTGGGTCAATGGTCCACACGATATTAAATTTATTTCTTGAGGGGGAGTGACTACTACAATAGCTTGCTATTGGGTTTCTTAAGTGTCGCTTTTGTGTTGCACTATTACAATAGCCTGGCACACCCCACCAAACCTAGTTCAAACTTATGATCACACCCCACCAAACCTAGTTCAAACTTATGATCTCTCTGTTGGTGGCATTTTACATTTTCAATAGAATTCACTACTGCAAATGTAGGGCAGCTTGTGATCCCTCTGTTGTCAGGATTGTTTTAAATGTTATACAATTCAAATGTTGGAACATCAATCTAACACTTTGACCCAAATTGAATATTTTTATAGCAGGAATCAATTGGATAGTGACTCTATCATAAACATGTCAGATATAAATCCTATGCTCAGGTGTATCATCTCTGCCATCACATAGATCCAGACCACCGATAAATGTGGTTATTTTCCGATTATTCCCAGAACCTTGGGAGTCTAAAAGCACACATTTCTGGTGATGCGTAAAGTAGGTTCCCACAACCTAGACCAAAAGAATCAACTGAATTGCTACTATACTAACTGAAAAGGAAAAAAACAGTACCACTTCCAAGTGAAAGCTCTCCACCAGAAGGCAATGGTTTTGCTTCAAATGATGAAAAATAAGAGATTTTGCTTCTTTGATTAAATTTCACCAGGCAAGAAAAAATGTTTTTGCTAGTATGATGTTCTTTTAGCTAAGGTTTAAGCCCCCACATGGGTCACAAGCTGGCGCTATTCAGCATGGTAAATCAAATATCATGTCATACATTTATAAACACTTGCTTGTGTGATGTTATAGCCTATGTGGGACTTAAATGCATCCAAAATGGTGTAGTATTAAGTTGGAACATGCTTTCTTAAATGTTATAACACTCAAAAATGTTGTTGCTAATGTTATGATACATATCTAAATAATACACAAATCTAGAAGGATTAAATCTATTTAAAAAATTATACACAAACTAAATACACTCAGCAAAATAATCTCAAACTAATGAAGTAATGAAATGCATACCTGGTTTAGTTTAGAGAATCAACACATAACACTATAACTTTTGAATGCTACTTCTTCTAGCTCTGGGTTTGTTTCCAAAACTGAATCAAATTTCTCTAATGAGTAATTATTTCAATAAGCAATTAAGTAATACAGACAATGCAATGTTGCAGATACCTCAATATTTTTATCCTGCATTTGTAGTTCCAGAATGCAATTTAAAATCACACTTAATATTATCATTATAGATTTGTATTTCTTGCAATTATGATCCGATGCATCACATCCGACATTGTATAATCGATTCAATTACGAAATCTAAATGCAGACTGTCTGATCTTAACTAATTAGACAATCTAGATTGTATGATTGCAGCAGATGGGGGATTTCCTGACTACACGGGTTCGGAAGCCGCAAATGCTTATAATAAAATGTCACAAATAACGATTGAGTAAATAAAACATGAGATACTTTTGAAACTAAAAACAGTATATATAAAATTCTTGTTGAAAACAATATCAAAACATACCTGGAGCAATATAACCATGTGTGCCAGCAAAAAAGCTATAACCCATCTGAGACTTTTCAGCAAACCCTGCAGCTCCAAATTCAGCAGTTTTTGCCTCATAATCTTCATCAAGCAAGATGTTGCTAGATTTTATATCCCTATGAATAACAGGTGGAAAACAATCACGGTGCAAATAGCAAATCCTTTTGCACCTCTGAATGCAATTTTATACCTCTGATTCCAATCCCAAGCAACATTCTCATCTTTTACATTTCTATGAAGCGCTTCAAAAAGATTACCATATGACATATAATTCTTCCTTTAAAAACAAGCATAAAGTTTAAGTATAATTCTATGTCTGATTTTCCCTAAAATATCCATTTCTGCAGTTGCTTCACAGCCACTACCATCCCGTTTTTCTAACGGGACTCGATAAACCTTTCTGTTACCACCTTGGCCGATTAAATTATCTTCACCCAAGTGAATATTTTATCAGCATCAATAACCACTTGGTAAAAAAGATAATAATTTCCTTTTTTTACCTGCTTCCTTTTGACCATTTTGTAACTTTTTTGCTCTTTGAATCCTGACACTTCTATAGATCAAAACTGCGGCAGTGAAGATAACAACAATGACCAAGAGCATTACATATTTATAACCAGAGCATTCTTCTATGACCCGATCTTTATCACAAATCTTCAAATCAGAATTTATTGAACTTTCTGAAATTTTCTCAACACATGAACCTTTGTTTCCAACCAAAACAGCATAGTGGAGGTTGATTATTTTGATTCAGTGATATCTCAAACGGTATGGATCAAACATAAAGTACACTGTTTTACTTTTCAAAAAAGAATTTTGAAGTTCATATATATAAAATGACACCTGATATAATGTACAATAACTTAATACAATCTTCACTAATTAGGCCACCAATTACCTTCTTTGAATATGAAATGATATCACTAATCTCAAAGTGTATCAAAGCTTATTCAAATAGTATGAAAAGTCATTTAAGTAGCCAAATAGATTATTTGAAAAGCTTATAATGCATTATTAAAAGTAGCCAAATAGATTATTTGAAAAGCTTATAATGCATTATTAAAAGTAGCTAAATGGATTATTTGAAAAGCTTATAATGCATTATTTGAGAATGATATGAATCCCTAATCTCAAAGTACTAAGGTCATGTATATTCAAAGAAGTAATTCTTCTCAAAAATATTAATGCAATATCAAACTCCACAATCATAAGCTCAAAGAGAGAATAAGAAATTACAGTCCCGTGGCATTACATAAATAAGTATCACATAAGCAAAAAATAATACAAGGAAAGGAATCTAACATGCTCAAACCACGTCCAGGTAAAATTACCATGCACACTCTTTTTTATTCACGCTACGAGTGGCAAATCGGAATCAAGCCTCCCTCCCATACATGTCTTGGGGCTAGAGTGAACCAAAGAAACAACGTATAACAAAATAAAGGGCAGCAAAAACTATTGAGCTGTGATTGGTGTTATTAAAAGTATTGATGGAAATGGACAATTTTATTGATCACAAGTTTCTTATATACTAGTACATAAAACAAGATCCTGCAACAAAAAATTGAGACCTATAATTAACTACAAAATATACATGGCGAAATCAAATGTGATGGAGTCATATTGCTCAATCAATTCCTTTGAGCTAAACCGATTGTTTTCTCGTGTCTATGCGTAGGGGTTATTTCTTATTAAATATTCCAAAAATCGATTTGATGGCATTGATGGCGTTCTCGTTGATAAATGATTCATCAAATCTTTTCAGTAATGGGTCGAATTCCGGGGATGCCCTTGCATTTGCAAGGTCAGGATCAGTTCTGATTCTCTGTTAAACAACAGCAGCATTAGGCAGCTTATTTAGCAAATATGATATTGTAGCTTGTAGAGTTATAGTTATCACCTTAAAGTCTTCAAAACCAGAATTTAGAGCTTCTTCAAGTGAAGAAAGTGCAGCTTGAGTCTGTTTGAAAATTGGATTACATTATTAATATATTGATTACATTATTAATATATTAATATAAAAAACAATAACAGATTAACCAGGTAAGCAGTGTTTGAATAATTGATTAACCGGTGTTTGAACCAAAAAAGTGATGGTTCAGGGGCTAGCCTAACCAGGTATTGTGGGCCAGTGGTGCAGAGGGCCCGTGATCCCTCCACGCTTTACCCTCCAGTCTGATACCCACGCAACTACCAGACCAACCAGTTAAACGTTAGCAATGATCCATCACCCTGGTGCCCCCACATGGGTCACAAGCTGGCACTACTCAGCTCGGCGAACTAACTAGCATGTAAGACATTTATAAACACTTGTGTGATGTTCTAGCCAATGTGGGACTTAATGGATATAAATTTGTATGTACATAAACTATTAAGATGGAACATGTTATAAAACTAATCATTGAAAAGATGTGGTTGAAAAGGTTTTTTAAATGACTTACTTTGTACTCGGCACTCCCCAACTACTTATGAGATATCATAACACTAATCATTGAAAAGATGCTATAACTAATGGACACAAAAATTATCCAAAACCAATGACAGTAGTGGAATGCAGCAGACAATTTGTAAAGTGAACAAGCATATATACCTGGTTTAGCTTAGAGTAACAACAAGCAACATTATAACTTGCCACTGCTGCTTCATCAGGCTCTGGCTTTGTTCCCAAAACTGACTCAAATTTCTCTAATGCTTCCTCGTACTTTGCATTCCTTTAGCATTTAAACAAGAAAGTAATGGACATTAGGATTATCAGGAAGATACCATTAATTCTTTTTATTCTAATCTAGATATACTCCTAGCTAATTGGATGCGTCGAAATTAAAGCTTTTTTGCCTCAAACTAGGCGCTGCAGATTACAATTTCATATAAATTGTCATGTCTATCTTGTCAAACAAAGTCACCAATCCTTTGTTTCTTATCTTAATAAGCAATTGACTAACAAAGGAAATTGTTTACTTAATCCAGCACAACATTATGGTTTTTGTATGTTGGCATGATTATATGTTGCAAACCGAATTTCATAAAATGCCCAATAATAGTTCTAAACAAGAAATTGTACTTCATCTCCGTAGCAGATTGAACAGAATACTTTCATTCTGAAATGTCATGGATAAGATAAATGAAGGAAAACTATTAAAAAACGTAATAAGGAGGAAAACGATTTTCTGAGTCGGGGGAGTCTTACTTGTATAGTCGTAAGCCTTCTCTCAAATCACTTTCCCGACGCTCTTTCAATTCTTTTTTCCTTAGGTAGTTTTGCATCTGAAATTTTTACAAAATTGAGGAATGAAAAGAGTTGTCACCCCACATCAAAATACAACTAGTGACCTCTTTCAATAGAAAATAAAATATCTTATATAAAAAAAGGGTTTGAAAAATTAAGAATTACAATTTTGTAGTTTTAATATGATGAAACTTACTTGAATTTCCCTGAGTTTATTACTAACTACACCAGAGTTCCTCTCAGCTCTGATGATCTCCTTATCAGTGAACTCACCACCAGTTTCTATCTTTCCTGTTAAGAAATAGAAACCAAGGTTCATGGATCCATGAGCTAGGTTCAGAATCAGGGAAACATTGCGAAAATGCATACAAAATAAACTAACCATATCTTTTCTGCATTCTCATGAGTAACGGGCCTATTCTTTGGCGAATTGTGTACATTGTTCTTCCATATTCCGCAGCTGGCCAAATTTCGGTCCCAAAAACAGCACTGCCGTTGTTGATCATTTTGATTCAGTCATATCTCAAACATTTTAGATCAAACATAAAGTACATTGTTTTACTTTTCAAAAAAAAAATTGAAGTTCATATACAAAATGACGCCTCATTTACTATACATACTACATAGAACATTTTCTTTATCATGTAACCTTAAGTCAACCTTCACTAAACTAGGCCTCTAATTCACTAATCTCAAAGTCATATATATTCAAAGAGGCGTCCTTGTCAAGAATATTAATTCGATATCAAAATCTACTCAACCCTTATCAAATTAGGCCCTATTAGGATAAACAACTTAATTATGCGCTTATTGTAAATATGATTATGTATAAGTTATTCTCTAAACCCTTCCAAACAGTCTTATTCAAATAGATAAGCTTAAATAACACAATCCAAACAAACAAACCCTAAGCCTTCAATTCAAAAAACTATCTTTAAGATGAAGAGCAGAAACCTGGTGGCAAGTACTTTATCACCAACAGTGAAGACTCCGGCTTTATCAGCAGACCCACCAGGAGCAATAGCATCAATGTAAGTTCCACCATCTCTTCCTTTCACAAACTTTATTCCATAAGGCTGGTCAATCTCAACCTCATACTCTTCATACGGTTCCTCTTCTTCTCCTTCTTTGGGTGCTTCTGACCCAACATCAGATGAAGCTTTAACCACAAAAAGGAAGGGTTTTGAGAAACTACAAGAAAAATGGTTTCTTGAAGAAAACAACTTGGTGGTAGGAAGAAAACAAGTTGGGTTCTGCTTAGAGTTGATTTGGGTGGTTCTTGTTGGCAACGAAAGTGCAGAGTAGTGACCACTGGCGGCGGCGGTGGCGGATATGGATAATGACATGGTTGTTAAGCTCAAAACTTTGATTTTTCTTTTAAGCTCTGTGAATTGAATTGAATTGAATAGTTGAGTAGTAGAATGAAGGGTGAATGAGAGCAGAAAGAAGAAGAAGAATATGAGAGGTTGCGAATAGATTTGCTGAAGTGGCTCTCAAGGCACATCCATTCAATTCACTACTACAATGCCACGTGTACTCTATAAATATTTTTTTCCATTAAATATAATTTTAGTCTCTTTATTTTTTATATTTTTGACTTTTAGTCCTCTTATTTTAATATCTGAGATTTTAGTCCCTTTATAAAATATTTATTTTTGGATTTTAATCTTTTTGAATTGAGACCAAATTTAAATGACATAATTGATAGTGATGTTATGCTCTTGCCACATAAAGCAAATATAATTTCCATGTCATTTTTTAATTTATAATTAAATTATTTATTTATTTTAAAATAATGAGTAATATTAATAAATTATTATTGTTAAAATTATGTTAAATTAGTTTTAAAGTACTTTGAGTTAATTTTAGATTTCACTTTAATTTCTTATTTTTAATAAATATTATATTTTAGTCTCTTAAAAATGTTCTATTAATCAATTTAATTTTTTATATTAAATCATGTTTAAAAACGTTAATTGTTGGTTATGTGGCATGACCGCAAAGTAATTGTCAAAAAGTTGAATCAGCATATGTATTAAAAAATAATTTCATGTTTAAATTGTTTAAATAGGAGGGGTTAGTTTTTCGGAGGTTAAAATCCCCGCAAAATGTTAGTAATGTGTAAAAAAATAATTCTTCTACTTTTCTTCCATAACAGAAACACAATTTTTCCATAATATAAACACGAATAATGAATACAAAAACTCAGAGCAACATAACTAGAATAAAATAACTTCAACCACAAGCTCTAATGTCTAAAATACATCGGTTATTACTTTCTAATGTCTTAAAAATCATAAATATCTCATTCATCTTGGACTTCATTCAGTTTGATCTTGATTGGCTCAACCTCTATTGAATGAACGATCTCTTTAATTGTTGAACTATGCACCAGAAAATTAAAATCAAGCCTAAACTCTTTGTAAAGTATAAATTCTACTTAAACATTAACCAAAGCAAACTCAAATGCTAAAACTAAAGCATCAAAAACCTCCAAGGTTCAAACTGAATCATCTACTCCAAAGCAAACCTAAATGCAAAACCAAAAGCATCAAATGTCCCTAGAGAACATAACAAAAGCCAACAAGACTAACAAGATTCTTATGATGGACCCTTGATAGAAGTTCAATCTCAGTTTTAAACTCAACAACACCCTGCATAGATTCTTTTCCATCCCTTTTGATTGCAATGTCCATAGCCACATGATCCAATAGTGTCGGTTTCTGCAAAAATGTTGGTGAATTTCCTCATCTCATCAAATGAAAACCATCGTGCTCCTTTCAACTGAGGAGCAACTCCATTATTCTTGTTTTGTTCCCGGTTTACTGCATTTAAAATAATAATTGGATCAATAAAAAACACTAGCAGGAAAATTCTTTCTAAGTAGAAACTAGGCCAAGCTTGGAGTAACCATTCTTACCAAAAAGGTTCAACTCGGAAGATCTTGTTCTTTTTTTTATGAATAATGTATAACTCTATAAGGATAACCAATACAAGAAATACCAATATACCAACTACAACACCAATTATTGCGCCTATATTTGATGAATTTGATCCCTTAGGTTCACCTAAGTAACATAAAAATGACACAGTTAGAGAGAAACAAGACAAAATATACAAATAATTTAGAACTTGCAGTTAATTCGGAAAATCACCAATGTAAAACCTATGTAATATACTTATAAATTAATGTCTCATTCACTCTTCAAATTCTCATCACACTCACACAAAACTAAATTCACAAAACTCACCAAATATGGAAGTCTCAACTGTCTCTTCAAATTCTCATCACCTCTTTAGCCTCCGTCTTCGCCGCCGCAAATATAATCTACCACCTGGCCAAAAAAATTCTAAAACATCAATTTCGAAAACTTAGATTATGAACTGAATTTAAAAATACAACTCAAAATACTATTATATGGCAACTGAATTTAAACATAAATTTAAAAAAAAAACTAAATCCTAAATCCAAACTTGATGAACCTAAATCCAACTCAGACAACACTAATAAAAAAACCTAAATCAATTTCGATAAGAAAAAGACAAACTTACAAAATTAGTTGGCAAAGGAAACGCAAACTCAAACATGTTGTTGTTTGCCAACTTGGTATCTCTGCTGTAATCACGTCAAACGACAAACTGAGTAATAAAAATGGTGCATGCTTATCTTTCTCTCAACAAGCAACTTCACTCAGATTGAAACGTAATGGTTTCTTCTTCAGCTGTAGAACTCGTTCCTCCAATTCGATGATTAGGTCCTTAGGAGAAAATCAAGTATTACGGAAGATGAAGAGTTAACTGGAGAGAGAAACAACTAAAGAGATAAAACAGAGAAAGAAGGAGAAGCGATAAAAAGAGATTGAGGAGAGATTAAAGTGGTGGCGAGATAAAACATGCATTTACTATCACACCTTGCTCATACATATGCATATTCTCTTCATAAGCTTTCATATGGAAATGCGAGTAATCTATCTTAGATCCCATATCAATATTCCTTGCTGTGATACGGTGGGAGAACTGACTTGAGGTTTTTGCGTTTTATCGCAAATGTTGCGGTTAGCAAGAGTCGCCACCAACTTTTATTTTATCTAAAAGGAAAGGTGAAAAAAGTACAGGAAAGACCTTTGAGATATTTTCTTGAGTTCGGGGTGTAGATTATGAAAAGGGAAGGTATTAGCACCCTTTTCATCCATGGTTTTCCATAGGCTCTTAGTTACTTGCTAGATCACTTGCTTTTGTTTGAAAAATGTGTTTTGTGTGGTTTTTGAAAGTATTTTGAAAATGTGCCATCGTTTAGGAAAACTTTGTAATAGTTCTCGTTTATAAGAACGCATACAAAGTGTTGAGCTTTTGAAAATATTTCATGTTTGGAAAGTGTTTTGAAAGTGTATGTGATTGTTTTTGAAAATAGCAAGGATGTTTGTTTTGAAATTGAGCAAGTAACTAAAAGTAATCTACCTACTCAAAAGGTCTTAGATGTGTTTTTCCTCCTCCTTTAGATGTTGCTATCTTACCATTGATTTGGTAAGGAGCCCCATCATTGGATGTGAAGGGACGAACGTGGGTCATCGTATAGTCATGATAGCAATGTTGTGAGATATCTTAGCATTCTCTTGTAGGGAATGAGACCACTTGTAAGGCAACATTTGTAGCGTCATCGAGGGACTATGATCTTGTATTTCGATTGTTTTTGCTAAGACATCCCACATGCATAACATGACAATTTTTTATAAGGCAACAAGTGGAATTACCCTAGGGGTGCATGTATGAATAGTGTGTTTGATTCACATGCATTTAGTCTTTGATTAGGGGTTGTCTACTTGTTGATTTTATCTTGCCATACATTTCCTATTTTACTAACAAGCATACAAAAATAATAAAATGCAAAAAGATAAAACCCTACACTATTACAACCATATTGAATAGCATGAAATTATAAAGACAAAAATAAAATAAAGGCAAGAAAAAAAAGAAATAAAAAAAAGGTCTTTCGATTCAGGCAGGAACACCCTTCGATTTTGTGTTCTTTGGTTTCCTTCGATTTGGGGTCTGGAGTCAGTGGAGTCATGCCCTTCGATTTTCCTTTGTCTCCTTCGACTGGGGGTTGGAGTCAGCAAGGTTCTATCTTTTGTTTCAGGCTTGGAAACAGAAAGGTTATGGCTTTCGTCTGAGGCCTGGAAACAACAAGGTTCTGGCTTTTCCACAGGCTCCTTGCTGACTCCTTGTAAGCATATTAGGCCCTCAAATTATGATTCAAAAGGCTTGTGCAGCTAGCCAATCAAAGGGTATAACAAACCTGTCTCAAGTTCTTAAAATGCAACATCCAAACATAACTACAGTCCAGGGGTTAGCACAAAAACCAATGGGTCTCAAAGTCCAAAGTATAACTAATTAAGGTTGAGTTTTCAGCATATGGGCAGTCAGAATCAAAAGCTAAAACATAGTCTAAAAATATCTACATTTTTCTTTATTGGCATATGCACCTGATATTAAAATAGAATAGACTCAAGTTTGAAAGAAAACTTACCTCTTGAAGTCCTTAAATCGAAGGGAGATGTAAGTGTTTTCTTTGATGGAAAATGAGAGTTCGTTGGGACCCTCCTGAGCCTAGTCCAGTTGCTACTTTATGAAATCAGTGACTGGGTCGAAAGAGATTGTGTGAATGGATCAAAAGATTTTTTTATCACAAGTGATGGGGGGAATTCAAAAGCCTACTGTGTGATAGTTGGGTGAGTGGGTCGAAGGGTGTTTTGATGGTCACTTGGAGGGTGAATCAAAGTTTTTTCTTAGCGTATAGAAACGTTTGAAAAAAGAATGTTGGGAAGTTTTTGAGAACTTTTTTGAGAATTTTCACAAGTGTTTTTCTTGCAATCCTTCAGGCGCCCCTAATATGTGTGGTGATACCTCCTTTTTATAGATGGCTTGGACTGATGCTTTGGGAGGGAAAACAAAAAGTTCAAACAAAAAGGGTATGCTGTATTTGTAGCTTTCAAGGGACAGTGTTTTATTGCCATTTTGGTGCAAGGAATAAGGCAATAATGCAAGACTGTTGTGCATCAGTTTTGGAGTTTTATGGCCAGTGTATCAGGCTTGATCCTGGCAGCGCATGGGACTTGGTCAACAAGTACCATTGGCATCTCAACCTTTTGTATTGACTCCTTAGCCTTTCCTTTCTACTAGGCTTTTTCAATAACCATCTCTTTTTTCAAATCGAAGTGTCATTCGAATGAATCCCATGGATATCCTTCGAAGGGGCCAAATTAATGATATTGGGATGGGTCAGTAATATATGTCCTTCGATTGGGGGCATCCATACATGCCTGACAAACTCTTCGAATGTACCACC